GTTCTCCCATGTTACTCTCATTCATATAATGCCTCTCCCTCTCTTTCTCCCAATATTTTCTTCCTAATACAAGAGTTTGCAGTCCCAATTAGATTATGATCATGATTTTCTCATGCTTTATTCCTGGCACCCAGATTAATTCTGGCATAGCAGGCACCCAATAAATGTTAATTACTGTTATTAAAAGAAGAGGAGAAACATGGTAGGAAAGGATCCTATGTAAATTACTGAGTTCTAATCCATTACCTTTCTGCATCTCGAAGAATCTTATTTCTGTCAGAGCATTCAAACCATTCCTAGCATAGGGTATTAGTTAATCTGTGTATGCTATGCTTACTGACTCTCTGATGTTCCTGACTCTGCCTACCTACCTAGACCTGCATTTGCTTTCATGTCTTAGATAGATTTCATAAACTTAATAATTATAGGACTTAGACATATAGAGAGATCATTCTGGACTCAGTGACCATTCGCTATAGAGACAGGCATTACTGCAGGAACAACTGAGATGGTCATGTCCTAATGGAAAGATTGTTGGGAAACACCCTGCCTGATTTCAGGAACTGCAACCCTGCCAACAGGCTGCAGGGCCCCAAAGCTGGAAATAATCAAGAGGCCTTGGAGAAACAGGCTCCTGAGGAGACATAGCTTGTCCCTCACTGGCAAGGGCATAGCTCCCGCCTCTCTGCTTTGCCTTGTGATGGTCCTTGTCAATGATGGGTAAGGCCCCTCAGGGGGAGGGGCGACCTAAGCCAGGCATCGACCGGTATATGCAGCAGACAAGAAATTGGGGGACAGCGAGAAGGGGCAAAAAGGCCCACACCTCTCAGCTTGGCTTGGACCTGGTTGAAGTCTAGCTGAAAGCAGTCTCCTTATCTCCTCATTCAGCTGAAAGCAGTCTCCTTATCTCCTGGTGGTTCCCTCCCCACAGCTGGCTCAGGCTTGAAGCAGTGCAGGAATCAGCCCTAAATCAGATCTGGCGGGTCCCAGGGTAATCAGGCCTAAAAGTAAATTCTTTGAAGTGTGTTTTGTTCTTCCCTCAGATCTCTGGCCAGCTCCTGCTGCGAAGGACATTTACATTATTTACTCCCATTACCCTATATCATTAGGCACTTGCCCTTATCTTTAGTCTCTTTTGTTTATACTAGTTTCCTCTCCAACCCATGTAAATCAGTGTATTTCTGTCACTTGTCTTCTTAAAAGCATCATATATTCTCTGTGAAACTTAACATACTAATGTAATAAGATAACGTATACATTCCTGTTACATAGCCCCACTGATAAGATTTTCAACAAACGCCTTGGAACAAAGGGCGACGGGGTCTTCCCTATTAGAGGGATGTGCCACACAGGCTGCTCCACTAAGAGGGAAGTGCCCCCGTCTGCTCTCCCAGCAAACAGAGAAGTATTTGGAATGATTTGTGTTTATTCTCCTCATCCATGACAACCCTGGGCCGGCCTCTGCAGGATTCCGAGCCCTGCTCCCTTCACAGCTGGCCTCCGCCAGTTTCCCTCAGATTCAAGGAGCGCCGCACTCCCTGTGGTGCCCTCCTCCGCCGCCCCCCACCGCAGGGAGGAGCGGTGACCCCAGCTGCACTCCCTTGCGGCACCGCGCCCCATCTAGCTACCTCACAGCACAACATAAGATCCCATCACTGTTCTACCTATGTTCCTCCTATCCTCATCAGATGAACATGACAGAGTATAACTATGCCATTTAGGTCAGACAGATTTTAGCATTAAAAGGTGATTTTGAAGAATGTGTATAAATCATCTTCCCAAATCATGTTAAATTTGACTACCAATTTAGCAAAGTACATCCTGACTTCAGTGCTGTGGAACTGGATGGAGGGTGGGTTTTCCGCAGTGCTCTGGGACAAGTGCTAAAATGCACCTAGGTCAATTCAAGCCCTATCTCATGTCCTTGTAATGTTTGTACAATCTGCATGACTAAATACTTACTTGGTTTCCTAATCCATACTCTTTTCCCACTAGGACTTAAATCCTATTCAGAATCTGAGCCCTAACACCCAGAAGGCAACATCCTAATTCCAATGCCTTATTTATATTGATTCTTTAAAAATAGAGTGAAGGAAGAAAAAGGGAAGACTAAATAAATTATGTGGTTTTACTTGTCATATTTATTTCTAGTGGATTATTTGACCCCTCAAACTTTGGATGGCTAGTTTGCAAAAACTGTCCTGTCAAGGGATTCTGGATTCAGACTATATAGAATTACAAAGTGAGTACTGTGATATTTACTAATCCCCGGCTAGGATAATACTTCACCCACACAGACCACCTGGGACCAAGATGCTGCCAACAATAAATCAGGATATTGCCAGAACGCAGAGAGTAATATTATAGCATCCCATTCACCAGACTAGAACCCTTCAATACTAATTTTCCTGGAGTTTGGCAACTTCCTGTGCACCTCATGATTTCTACTGCAGCTCAGCAACAGTCAGCTCACCTAAACTAATTTCTCTCATTTCTAGTTTTTTCCCTCTCGCTAATGGGCTTCATTGCTCTGCATGCCCCATATTGGACCTTCTGTCTGCACTGGAAATTATAGAAGAGTGATCACATTTACCCAGAGAAAGCATAATGTATTATTTACTCTAAACTTTACTCTAAATCTTCTTAAGTTTTGTATGCCTTATTTACATAGATAGTTAAAAAGAACAGAGTGGAGAAAAAAAAGATTAAAGGAATTAAGTGGTTTGCTTTGCCATATTTATTTCCGGTGGATTGTTTGTTTGATTCCTCAAACTTTGGATAACAAAAAAAAATTATTTTACAAAAACTGTCCTGTCAAATGATTCTTGAGTCAGGCTATGTAGGATTACAAAAATGAGTTCTGTAATGTCTACTGATCCCTGAACACCTCAAAAATCCCTCTAAGAATTGGCAAAAGTCCTTTATGCTCTGGTTTATTCCAAACTGGGAACCCTAAGGTTTAGAAATGAAATGGCACGTATGAAAGCACTTTTACAGTTCAGAGTTGTCTGGAAATATGCCCATATACACTTGGAAATTTGTTACAAGTAACATTATCAATCAGTGAAGAAAAGATAATTTAATAAATATTTATTTATTAATATTTATTAATTGGCTAACCACTTGGAAAAAATAAAGTTAAGTTCCTAGTGGACTCTTTTCATTAAATTCCAGATGTACTAAATATTTAACTATGAAAAAAAAATTGAAAGACTAGAAGAAAAGTTAATTTGTTTATAAGCTTAGAAGAATTTTCTAAACATAATTCAAAGCTTAGAATACATAAAAGACTGTTCAGTTTGGCTATTTACAAATTAAAAATCTGTACAGCCAAAAGTGCTATTAAAAAGTCAAAAGATAAACAAGTTGGGGAAAATAGTTGGAAAAGATGAGAGATAAGAGGTCAATGTTCTCAATTATTAAAGTTATTATAAATCATTTTAAAGGTGAATAACCTAATAGAAAATATATTGTTGACAAAAACAAAATTCAAATTGTCAAACAAAATGTCAAAATATGTTCATCGTCCCTAATCATTGAGAAAATATGAATTAAAACAAGAAATGATTCTTCATCTATTAGATTAGCAAGATTAAGCACCATGATAACATCTTAGTCTTAATAGTGTTCGTTTTGGTACTGTAATAATTTATTATTAGGGAGTAATTTGGTACAATTCCTTTAGAGAATAATTTTTCAATAGATATGAAAAATGTAAGTGTACATATCGTATGACCATCAAGTCCTCTTCAAGGAATTTATCCTACTCCCCTAAATATGCAAAGATACCTATTTATGAGTATTCACTGTAGCACTATTTGTAATAACAAAGCCTAATTAGTGATCAATAGAACTATGGGAAAATAAACAGAATAATATGCCATTAAAAACAATCATGTAAGTCAGGACATACTGATAATGGAAAGACTTCTAAATATACTATGTAGAACAGTATTTTGGGTTCACACACACACACACACACACACACACACACACACACAATGATGTATGTATACAAAATGTCTGGATGTTTACAATGAAGTGTTTTATCATGGGGGATACTAGGAGAGAAGGCTAATGCAAAGCTCACAATAAGGCAGCCAGCAGCACCGCAGGCTACTATAGCAGTCATTGGTCCTGTTCATTAATTTTTGCATGACATTAGTTCAAGAATCGCCCTGATTAGTCACTGAACAACCTGGGGAATCACTCAATAGGCTGTGCATTAAGTTTGCTCTTTTGTTTGGTGCTGATGTTTCTGAAGACCTACATAATCTTTAAAGCAGGAATCTTTTAGTTATTCATTTCATCATAATACCTGTTATCTCTCATTCTGGCGCTGACGAGTTTGAATTGCTTTGAGAATAAACTTTTGAAATAAAATGTCCTTATGTAATTTCCATGGAACAACTCTGGAACACCTGTGCAAAATTGGTTTTGCCTCTATTATGTAAGAAATTTCTAAAATTCAATGACATTTCCCGACACCTACCGAGAAGGCATTTATATAAACTGTCTCTTCTCTGTAAACCAAATGCCATTTCGACCACATTTCTCAGCAGCTTTTTTCTGCAGAGATGTTTTTCCTAATGATGCGTATGTCAATGTCAAAGATCCGTGAGACATCCGTAAACTGTTAAGAGCAAACGGACCTGAAACCCACCAGACCTTCACGTTTTCTCCTTCCCTTGAGACTTAAAAGCCATATAGCCAGGCGCGCATTTTGACCTCCTGAAATCACTAACAGCTTCCCCACAGCGACAAACAAGTCAGAGGCCGTCACCAAGGACAGACTGTGGAAGGAAGGTAGCGGCGGGCCCCCACCCTGTTCCCCACTCCTCGCCAGGTACCGCCAGCCTCCGGCTTTCAAGAGGCGAGGAGGACCTCAGGGCGGGGAACGGGTGACCAAAGGAGACTACAATTCCCAGTAGGCTTAGAGGGAGCGGGCTTACGCACGCGCAGCCCAGAGGCTGGGAATAAACTCATGCTGCGGGGCTTCTGGGAGAGAAAAATGGCAGTGCCCACGTTGCTGCCTGGAGTGGGCAGGCTCTTTGAGATGCCCGCAGCACTTATGCGCATGAGCCGAGCTTACAGCAAGCCCCAGACCTTCACGGAGGTTCTACAGCTGCCAAAACAGCAACTGACGAAGTTTGTGTTTCCATTGCAGGAACTCCAGCGGCATCTCATCTCCGAATCGACGTCCGACCTTCACCTGAAGACCTTCGACCCCAGCCTGGAGGATATCGCGAGGGCGGAGAGCATCTTTACGGCCACTGCCGGGAACCGCATCGAGTATCTCAGTTCCGCTGTGCGTCTCGACCACGCCCCGGACCTTCCCCGCCCTGAGGTGAGAGCGCCGCTGCCAGCTAGTGGTGAAGGCTTGGGCAGGGATTTTGCTGTCACCTGTTTCTTGTCACACATCGAGAGAGCTTTTCTAACTTTGTGTGGAAGCATGTAACTAATTTAACTAGATAAGCAAGTCTAATTTTAAGTATTTTGGTAGTGAATATAGTAGACATTACAGGGTTTTAAAACCCAAAGCGTTGAAAACGTTATGCTTTTAATTTTTTTCCTATTTAATTGAAGTAGGGAAAACAGAGTGAAGACTATGAAAAGTGTAATTTTCAAGAACGATGTGGTCTTTATCGATATGTAATTTTCACCCTATCTAAACTTCCTATTGTGAAAAAAAATGATACACAGATGACAGGAATGTAGATTTTTAAAAGAACTTTAGTGGTGTTCCATGATTGTACATTTTATGCATGTATTGCAGCTAATATTTTGTTCTAAGTCTGGTAAAAGAAACCTCAGCTCTCTTTACATACGGTGAGTTCTCAAATATAGTTTCTTGGAAACTGAGACTTAAAGCAATATAACATAACCGAAGCCAATTCTACCGAAGGCTAATTGATGCCAACAAGTTAAGTTCCTATGGCATATTTCTGGTCCCAAAAACATCACGTAACATCTAAATAAAGACCCCCAAAATTTATATTAAACATTGAAATGAATGTGAGGTATACTTACATTTAAGAACGATTAATAAACACAAGTAAGGTAATTATTTCCCAACCTGTTTATTCCAGTTTAGGGTAACAGGGCCAGAGCCTCCCCTGGCAGCTCAGGGCAGAAGGCAGGAACCAGCCCTGCACCGGACGCCATGCAGGGCTCGCTCACTCACACCCACGCTCACTCAGAGTGGGACAGGTGAAGCTTGCAGGGTCACCTAACTTGCACAGCTGTGGGATGTGGAAGTACCCGGAGAAGACCCACACACGTGGGGAAAACGTGCAAACCCCACACAGACGGTAGTCCTGGCTGTGAATTGATTTTTATTTTCCTCTCATCAAGGTTATAACAAAACGATGTTAAACAAAAGGATGTTATTCAAGGACCTGCTGTATTATCGTAGCTGCACCACTGCACTGAAAATTTTCTCCTTTTATATTTAGAACTGCTAGAATTCAAGAACATATATATCATTTAATGATTGTGAGGTAGCATCATTTTTTGATTTAAGCTTTTAAATTACTGGACATTTTATGTAATTCGTTTTTTAAAATTCAGTTTTATTTATAGATTTTCACTGGGTTTAATCTGGGAGAGCATTTGAAATTTATGCAGGATTCAGATCAATTCATTCTGAAGGACTGACCCCAGTTTTACACAATATATAGCATTCCTGGCCCCTGCCTACTAGATGCTACCTGATCATATTGGTAACCAAAAATTTCCTTACAAATTTCCAAAACACACCCCAGGGAGCAGTACTGCCCTCATTTACAACCACTGATTGGTATTGTACCCACTCCAATACCATGTTAAAAAGCAGAGCCATGTGTATTAATGGTCACTATCAAGAATATTTTGTTGCTTTCTACACTATAGAGCAGCAATTTTCAACCGCGGTAACCACAAGATGCACACCAGTGTGCCACAAGAATTTTAAAACATGCAATACCTGACTATTTAGTCAGGGGCACTGACCTGTTTTCTCTTAAATTGTCAAACAAAAAAGTTACGACAGCCAACACAAGAGACATCTGGTGTAAATGAATTATACCTATTTTTGTGTCAGAGCAACAAAAAAATATATTTTGTGGTGTGCCACAGAATTTTAGTAATTAGTCTGTGTGTGCCATGAGATGAAAAAGGTTGAAAATCACTACTTTAGAGACTAAAAGAGAAAAGCTCAATTGGAAGACACGAGTTCAAGAAAAAGAAATAGCCTCTCAGAGTGTACTCTGCAAGTTTGTGGGGAAATGTTCAAACTTCAAAAAGCAAGTGTAAAGAATGCTTAATAAATGTTGCAGATACTCTTGAGTAGCATAGTGTAATTAAAAGCACAGGTTCTGAATATAGATGTCTTGAGTTCAGATTTCAACTCCTTCACTTTCTAGCTGTTATTTACCCTCTTTCCACCTTGTTTTATCATCTGTAAAGTGGGGATAATAATATTACCTATCTCATAGGGATGTTGTAAAAAGTAAATAGGAAAATATACGTTAAATGCTTAGAACAGCACTTGGCACATTGAAATGATTCAGTAGATAGTAGCTATATGTTAGAATTTGAGGTTTGACTAAGCATAAGCCACTTTTTATGGCTAGGCAAGACCAAATAGTTTCACAGGTTTTTGCAGCTAGTACTTCACACACACACAGACACAAACACACACACACACTCTCTCTCTCTCTCTCTCTCTCTCTCTCTCTCATACCCAATTATATTTTTTTTAATTTTTATTGCATTTATTGGGGTGACATTGGTTAATAAAAGTATATAGGGTTCAGGTGTGCAATTCTATAACACATCATCTGTATATTGTGTAGTATGTTTACCACTGAAAGTTATCTCCTTCCATCACCACTTATCCCTTTTACCCTCTTCTAATTCCCCTCATCCTCCTTTCCCTCTGGTAATCACCATAATGTTGTCTATGTCTACGAGCTTGTTTTTTGTTTTTTGCTTAATCCCTTCACCTTTTTCACCCAGTCCACCTTCTTCTTTCTTTTATAAGGTGTGTTTTATAGGCAGAAGCAATGTTGGAAAATCCTCTCTAATAAAGGCTTTATTTTCACTGGCTCCAGAGGTTGAAGTCAGAGTCTCCAAAAAACCGGTATGTTGAAATACAAAATGTGTCTGAACTATCTCTGAATTGACTAAGATGAATAATAAGTGTTGGGAAGTACAAGAAATCATAATTGCCAAATTCTTAGAAAAGTGATTTCTTTCAAACAAGTAGTAAAGTAAGACATCTCATTAGTGCCTGTGGATTTCTTTGAAGAAGAGGAAATACATTTAGATTTATTTTAGTAGTCTTGACAGTATCTTGAGGAAATCTTCCTTGGCCTAAATTTTTTCCATGGAGTTGTTCTGTTGTCATTCTGTAATTGCTTCTAAGAATGATCATCTTAGTTTTCATCGATTTCAGAGGTAACAGTTTTAAAGTGTTTTTTCCCTCCTATAATCTTTTACACCTTGCTCACTCATACATATATACCACTCTACCCTGGGCCAAATTACGTGCTTATTATCCCAACCAGTCTCCTGTAGTAGCTTTCTGTCATTTTCTAATTTCCTGTACTTCCTTCTCAATAATGCAGACTCCACCAGTATCTAAGATACCTTCTCTTCAAAACTTGCCTTCAGTTCCCCTCATCTTGTTATCTATTCATGGCAAAACATTCCCACCAACCCAGTGCTCACTGTCCCCTTTCCTTGCACTGGAACTCTTCCAGGGGGCTTCCCTAGTCCTTTCTGGCTGTCCACTTCTTCATATAGTTGATTCCCTGGCTCTTTCACTGATAACTGTTGTCATTCATTAATCCTTGCCATTACTTCTGCCCTGCCTCACCAAATAACCCAGCTAAATTCTCACTTCTAGGTAGAGTGGTTCCCTTCCTGCTATGAGAGGACAATGCAAGAAATGTGTTTTTGACATTCCTAATTCTAAAATCATTTTCCTATAGGTAGACATATAGCTGACTAGGAACCTAAGCACCATTTATAAAATCTTTCCTCTGAAAAGACTTAAAATTATTTATTTTAATCTTTCTTTTTCTGATTAATGTCCATAGACACAAAATCATGAACAAACCACTTATCGTCTGTACATCAATTTTAGTTACACAGATAATTCATAATGTTGTACATACTTTTTAAAAATGGTTTTCAAAACCCATCTAATGAAACATGCAAAACATGTTCATTTTAGGGAAGCAGTAATTTAGGCATAATAAACTCTCAGGCTTTGCATCTAGTTTTTATGACTGTATGACTAACAGTAAGCATTTAGTTTAACTTACCTGTGCCATCATTCATTTCTTCTTAGAAGTGTATTACTCATAAGAGAATATTAATTAGTACAGTCACACTAGAACAGGTTAACATTTTCACTGAGAGCTAATGAACTAGGAAAGACTCCAAATTTTGCCTACATATTTCTAATATGGAATCTAAAGTTCTTAAGTCATATTTCTCTAAAACTTATGAATTGGAGAGAAGTAGTATCACTTAAGCCTATCTTCAGCCACTTTTATCTTCTTTTCCTATATCATCATCAGCATAGCTGGGATTATATACTGAATACTTATACATATTAGTAAGTATGATTGAACAAAAATATTTTGAGTTATGAAATACATAAAGAACATATTTTCAGGAAGCTTTCATTTTTTCATTTACTTTATCAGGGGCACACAAAGAAAATGAATTTTTTTAAAGTTGGAAAATATTTCACATTGGTGGACATGCCAGGTTATGGCTATAGAGCACCTGAAGATTTTGTTGATATGGTAGAGACCTATCTAAAAGAACGAAAGAAGTAAGAAAAAAAATTTTTTATACTAGTTATACACTTAACCCAAAAGTATATTTTTTATTATTCTCATAATGTTTTGCAACATAATATTTAGGACCAAGGTATTTATTGCTTGCTTTGTTTTTCCCTGTTGGCTTTATCTTAAATTCAAGTGTTTTTCTAAATTGAGCCTACAAATAGTACTTCAGCAGTGTTTACTAATTTTTTTATACCAAACTGTTAGATGGCTAACTTTGATAATGAGACCTGTTGGTTAATGTGGCATTCACCAAATTTAAATAAACTGCAAATTCTAATCTTTCTTAAAGTACTTCTGATATCACATCCTCTGTAAATGTTATATTTTTTTATCTTCCTAGGTAGTCAAATGTTAGATGTATGTTTCAAGCTTTGTACATATACAGAGAAATTTATGTTAAACTTTTGAAATATAAAAAAGTGTTAACAAGTATCTTCCTTATTGTGGCTTTACATAGGAATTAAGATGAAATATTTACACGAGAAAATACAAAATATAATGTGTCTGGTTTGTGTTATCTGTTAGCCTTAAAATGACATTTGAAAATTTAGACATTTTTATGATAATAGTTAATTGAGTTCATGTCTTTTTCTCCCACTAGAGTTCAAGCTCTTTGAGGAAGGGGCTCACTCACCTTTGTATCCAGTCCGAAGCATAGTGTCATATTCAATATATGCTACTGAAATAAATTAATATTCGGTGAACTTAGTTAACTGTTGGACTGTAGGATGGACTTCCTGTTGAACTGAGAATTCCTTTTGCCTAATGAAATTTTTAAATTTTGGATTGAAAATTAGTCAAAGGAAAATTTATTAGATCGTGAGGGTCAGGGGAGAAATAAGTGAATTTTATATTGCCATTAATCTTTATTTCTGCATTCTTATAGTTTGATGAGAACATTTTTGTTAGTGGATAGTGTTGTCGGAATTCAAAAAGCAGACAGTATTGCCATAGAAATGTGTGAAGAGCTTGCATTACCTTATGTGGTAAGTACTGCTTTTGAATTATGGTTGCAATTAGAAATACCAGTTTTGTGTGTGTGTATCTGTCTTTTTAACAAATAAGTAGGTCTTGCCTCTTGATATAAAGGAATACCTTTTGAATAATCTTTTCAATTGTTTAGCCATTAATAAAATAAGTTCTGTGCTACTTTTATTTTCTTTTCATTTCCTCATCTTTAAGTTTTCAAAATTATAGTCCAAGTTTTTTAAGCTGTTTATTTAGTGTTCCTAGGTGCTTTTTATGATTTTTTTTTTAATGGCAATATAAACATTTGTCTAAAATGTGTTAGTAGCTCTTTAACAGCAACTTGGCAGATAGTATTTATCAGTATGTAAATAAAACTGCAACTGAAAATTTGCTAAGCTAATTTGGAATTTCAGAACCATTATAAGAACGTAGCAGGCTCCAGCACATACAAGTAGGATTTTTATACTGTTTTCTTAAAGAAAACAAAATTTCTTCTGGGAATATCTCAGCAATGTTTTTTCTGTTATTTGCTCTAAAATATAATATAGAATAGTAGGTTAGTACCCACATTTATTTGCTTTGCGAGTTTCCCAAATAAAATAGCACTCTTAAGGAAAAGTGAAGGACTCATTGACTATAATTTGGTTTTTAAAAAATGTCAGAAAACCACTAAAATGTAACAGTGGAGTTTAATGCAAATCAAACCATGTTACTAGTCAGCAACGTTTTTGTATTCTTGTAGTTACGGAGTTCTTGGGGTTTTCAAAGCCCTGTGAAGCATTAGTGATAACCTACAGTTATGGGGAGCCACAGGACTGATAAACATCGTCTACATAGTACAAATGCAATGAGTTAGGAAGTTTAATTTCATAGAAATTCCCCAGGAAAATCTGAAAGATCAAGGTTTTACTTTTTAATGGATTTTTGCAATCAAGCCACGCCTTGACCTTCATCTAGTATGTAATTATCTTTGAATAGGTAAGTTTATTCAAAGTAATTATTTACTAGTAAGTCTAGAAAATTTGAGGCTTAACTTGGAATATAACTATGTATTACTTGGAATAGTGGATACAACCTACAAACAGCCTGATTTCTAATTTTTCCTTTAGATTATTACATGTAAGATGGAACCATTTTATAGGTCAAAGATAATTATAAGTAGGCAATTTTATATGAATCAACCTAATAATGCTCACTTATAAATTGAATATCTTCAACCACAAGACATAGTGATCATATGAAACATTTGGTTTATCGTAAGTTGCAAATATGGCTCCAGGGTTCTTTTCACTGGTTTTGAATTCAAGGTAGTCTAGTCCTGTGTAGTTCAAGCACCATTAAACAGCAAACACATAATGCATGCTTTATACATTTATATATATTAACTCATTTAATCTTCATAGTGACTCATTTGGCACACTTTGCTTTTACTTTATAAATGAAGAAACAAGTACAAAGAGATTAAGAAACTTGAACAGGTCACCTATTTATTCAGAATTTGTAGCTAAAATGCGTAAAACTGTAAATTAAAAAATACTTTATTTCTAATGCTTCACTATTTGTTTTCTTGCAGATGGTATTAACAAAAATTGACAAATCTTCAGTGGGACATCTTTTAAAACAAGTGCTTCAGGTCCAGAAATTTGTTAACACTAAAACACAAGGATGTTTTCCTCAGTTGTTTCCTGTAAGGTAAGAGTTGAATTGTTTTTATAGCTTCATGTACTAACAGCCTTTTGTACTATATCAGTATTTCTTATCACTAATCGCCCTTTGGCTAAAATCAAGTGCAAATCAGCATTTCTTAAATTGAGGTATCACTTAAATTAGGGAAGTTTGGAAGACTGTGCACTTAGTCATGATTTATTCGTACAACCCATCAGTAGTTTTATTTTTCTCTTCCCTCTATTGTCTCCTTCTGCAGATTCTTCTGTACCTTCATTCTCTTTCCTCCTTAGCCTAGTTCAGCCCTAAACCACAGCAGAAATGAAAACTTTGTATGTTTTAGAATCAGCTAAATAACAACCACAATAAAGGTACTGCCATACCTTTCTCAGCTTCATAGAAAAACAATTTATGTTTATGGTAGAAAACTCATTCAGGCTGTGAGGGATAAAAAGAACCATATGTAAATAAGAAATACTTCATGCAAATTAAAATTAAGCATTGGTAGCAGGTGGAATGGTTATTTCCTGAGCTGGCAGTTTTTGAGATATTAGATATGGTTTAGCAATGAAACATGAGTTTTTACTTCAGTATACACCTTGGACACAGTAAGCAACCTGTATTGTTGTAGAGATACAGTGCCACTCCGCTAGGATTTTCTTACTCTAACTTTGTGAAAGGCACTATGGGAGTTGCTATGAAAAATAATGAAACCAAGTTCAGTTATATATGAAACTGTTCATTCTACATCCTACCAATGCAAATCACATTTAAATTCTTTGTAATTATGAACATACCTGTCAAAATCCCTCTTCATTCCTACAAAATGCTTTTCTCCTTTTACTTACTTTTGACAATGTATCCTGTTCATTTGTTCATTTGTTTGCTTCCTATATATATGAAACTCCTAGGGGCAGGAACAAAACCATAATTCTTCTTAGGACCCTGAGCATTGTCATAGAAAAATAGATGTTTCTTTTAACTATTTAATAAGGAAGTGATACTTCAGCTAAAAGGCAACACAAGCGTGAGGTGTGCAAATTATGCTTTTAATAGCAGCATTTATTGAAAAACATGTTTTAGTTCACTGGAAGCTGAGTTTGAATTAACAGTATAATAGGGCTAGGGGAAAACTGTCAGTGTTTTCTTGAGCTACAATTAATAAAATTATAGTGTTTAAAACAAGGAAAGGAGCAAACAGTAGTCACACACTGCTCTGCACTCTATGCCACCAGACTACTCAAGTAAGATTGTGGCTCGACATTAAGAGCAGCTAGAGCTATCTGATAACTGATGGTCTTGGGGGAGGTTATGTCACTAGATCATTCAAAACACTTAATTGATTCTCACAGTAAACATCACTGTTTCACGGTTAGAAATGACAGAAGTAAAGTGAGTTCAGAGAGGTATTGGCTGTAATAGAAGTGAGCAGTAGAGTCAGGCCATGGTTTTGCATAGTTCCTCTACTTCTTATAGTTTTTAAAGCAACTCATTTCATTTTCTGAGTCTTTTCTCATTAGTAAAAATGTGATTGTTAGAAGGACTAAATAAAATGTATTGTAACTGATGTACCTACAATATAATAAATGTTAGTTTCCTTCTTTGACAAAGGTCAGTAAATGGCAGGGTCAGGCCAACAACCCAGAACATCAGGTTCCTAGTACAGTTTAGAGGCATTCCCTTCTTTAAATATGCCAGCATTCTCTGCTGCATAACGAGCCACTGCTGTCATGTACTACTCACCATATGTGACCATGCACTGTAGAAACCGCACAGCACTTGAAGGCGTAGAGCTGAGGCACAGGAGCCTGATGACCTTTAACAACATCAGTGTTCACTATACCACAGTAACCACGTTCAGGAAATCAGCAGGCTGTATTCTGTAGTTTTCAAAATCCAATTCAGAAAGCAGAGTTCTATATAATCCTTGCTTTTACTATCATCATCAAATCCCAGTCCATCCCTCCAGTGGAGTTTGGTCTATTCACAGAATAATTATAATAAAGTAAGTTAGATTCTATTTCTTTCTCTTCCTGTATGATTGATAGAAGAAAGGTGGAAACGTGAATAGATATGTAGTCCAGAGAAATTTGGCCTTTAAGCCTATAGGCAAAAGTTAAGTACTAACCTTCATGTCTGAACTCTACTCCAGCTGGGTGAAATATAAACGGTGAAAGGCTCCTAAAGATTGATGCTGGGATCAGTTTGTTGTTATAAATTGTATGGAATAAATATGTACATAGGCACAGTATATATAATTGCTTCTGTGGTTTTCTATGGAGTGAAATTCCAAGCAAATGAGAACTGATTGTAATGACAAAGAAAATTGTATGAGTTGACAGAAATGTTGCAAATGAGCTCAAGGTGTCATAGTGTGTAAACTAACTGGTATCTCTCCTTTAAACTATATATGCATAACTTCATTTATTATCCAAGAATCATTATGGGCTATTCTCAAGCAGTCAGTTTTGGTCAAAAGTCCAAAATGCTGTCCTTTATCAAGGGAATTAGCAATGCTGTCATTAGTAATACTGTACTATATTTGCAAGTTACTAAGAGAGTAGATCTTAAAAGTCATCACAAGAAAAAAGTTTATGACTATGTATAGTGATGGATGTTAACTACTTCCTGGAATCATTTTGCAGTATATACAAACATTGAATCATTATGTTGTACACCTGAAACTACTATGTTATATGTCAATTATTCCTCCATAAGAAAGAAACAACTTTTAGTCTCACAAAAAACAAAATAGTAGATATGGTGAAATTTTTAGAATATGAAGGAAAGAGATCAGATAGTGTAGAATACTAGATTTAGAATACCACAAGAGGCTGAGGAAGGAGAGGAAAGATAGGAGAAATTAAGATGTTTCATACAAGGAACTCAGTTTATAAAACTTTATTTTTTTAACATATAATCTTTGTTTCTTCCCATTACTCTTTAGTCCCCTTATACGCCCCTCCCCCCAGCAGTCACCACACTGTTGTCCATGTCCACGAGTCCTTTCTCCATTTTGCTCAATCCCTCCACCCCCTAACCTCTGCCTTGTAAACAATTTTTTTTAATTAGATGACTTCATATCTGCTATTGCCTCTGAAGTAAGGAAGAACATGACATGTTTTTCTTTTCTTTTCACAGTGCTGTGACCTGTTCTGGAATTCATCTGTTGAGATGCTTTATAGCAAGTATAACAGGAAATCTTAAGACTTAGCTGAAGACTCAAAATTTTTTATGCCAGCTGGACCTAAACACCTAGAATTTCAACATTGTTTTAAATGTTGCATGACTATAATCTGCAGAGGATAAGTTCAGCTTTAAACCTACCTCTTCCCAAAGCAAGAATGATTTTTTCGCCTGACTGGGGGGCAGGTTTATAAATTATTGAATTATGCTATTCATTAGAACAGATGCTAGCAGTTTTCCCTGTTTTAACAAGCTGACAAACAAGAGTGGCATACAGAAGTCCATAAGGTGAAAACCTGTTCACTACTGTGTAGAGAAGAGTTTGCCATGTTGTTTATTGGGCTCTGTCTTTTAAAAAAATGTCTATTATGTATATTTTTAAATATTAAAATAGAAGAGGGGAAAAAGGAGTAACGTTTCTGTTAAGGACTGATAGGTGGGTTGAAGATAAATGTTCCTCAGCTTCTAAGAATCTAAGACTTACGGTCCAGTCTTGATTCTTCTTTTACTTCCACATGACCCCGCTGAGCTAGTGAGTTTCCCTGTATAGTATATGTATGCCTATACTGTATCTTTTTTCTGAGTCCTTATTTGATTTTTTTTTTTATTATTCTTAATAAAACTAGTCAGTGCATGCTGGAAATACCAGTAAATTCAGTCTAGGATCAGTCACCTTCAGCCAAATATGGGATTCAGAATCAGAAGACCAGAATTTAAGTTCCAGTTTTATTATTTTTTTTATATGTTGGACCCTTATTTCTTGAGTTTCATTTGTAACTCTAACCTCACAAGCTATGAGATTAGAGTGGTATATGCAAAAAGGACATCTGCATTTTCTGCATACTTATAAAGGGAAACCAACTCAATATAGCAAAATGCACAGGTAGATTTATCACAAAAAATATCATGTCATGAAGGAAGTAACATTTTCTTTAATGAAAGAAACACTATTTTTAACTGAGAAAACTGATTTGCAAAGGGTGAGAACTAAGTCAATGGGACTATTTAGAATCAGTACACTAAGATTCAGAATGGAAAGATAAAGCCTTACTTTGAACTAGTTAATGGAAAAGATTTTTATGAAGATGCTACTGGCCTTTTCATGTAAGTAGCTTAGGTTTTCAAAATGAGGCTGAATATTACAAGGTTATAGCAGTAGCACTGGATAAGAAAAATTAAGGCTGTATATTTTGTGGCTTTTTTAGAAAATTCAATTCTGAATATATTTTCAGTTTTATAATTGATAGCATTGGTGTGTTCTAACCAGCAGTGTTTTGAGCTTTAAAAAGAAAAAAAATTTTATATGGTCATTTGCAAAGTAAAATATATGGTGATATAGAATTACCTCTCTTAGAAGTCACCTTCCTGTCTGCCAGTGTTGCTTTACCACTTGTCTTAGGCTTGGTTCTCCTAAAAGCATAGCCCAGGGCTTGGCGTACAGTAGTTTATTTAAGATGTAATCCCAGGGAACAGGGATGTGGAGAAATTAAAGCGAAGGAAGGAAAGCTAATCAAGGATTCATTGAGTTCAATACCCCATAACCACTAGTGCTGGATCTTGAGGGAACTTCTGAGGAACTTTAGGAAATGTGCCTCTGAATGGTCTTTGAAGGGGGAGAGGGTGAGCCCACACCTCTTCCCAGTCATAGGTGCCCAAGTGCCAAGCAGTTTCTGCAGCTTGTCAAAAGCCAGGAGGCAGGAAGCGAGGAGTCCCTGAAGCAGGAGGCAAGGTACAGTTGTCCATTTCTATTCCAAATTGGTTGCCATGGCAGCGGCTAAAGAAAGAAGGTCAAGGATTTAAAGACACATGGAAAGTCTCACCACCCTTCTCTTGTAAATGACTTAAGTGTTCTAATGCCACCAGATGTGATTAAATTGGTATTCACTATGACGACACTAACAGTAGTTTCTAATCTACCTTACCAGGTAAGTTATGGTTTTGTTTATTTTGCCTTTCACTTTTAAAAATTTAAAACGTTTGAATTTAAATTGTTTGGGAAAATAACTGATATAGACTACTACATTCCTTATAAATATATATAATCATTTTGTAGACACATCATATGAAGCTTTTTAACATTTTTCCCAGAATTGTAAGGAGCACAAGATGAGAAAAGGAGAGGAAAAAACTTACTCCAAGGGAACATTAATGAAATAGAAAAAAGTGCTAGCCTTTAGTCCAGTCAGGGCTTTATAATTTTACCTCCTTAGATAACTCACTAAACCACTCTGGTTTTTCCAATGAGGGATCATTTAAAACTGTAAAGGTTTTACTTTTGAACAATAATGCCACTTCAGATGAAGGAACCTAAGCCCAGGGAAACTCACTAGCTCAGCGGAGTCATGTGGAAGTAAAAGAATCAAGACTGGACCGTAAGTCTTAGATTCTTAGAAGCTGATGGCTATTTCTAGACTTGTCAGGAATGAGATCTCTTTGGTATTGTCCATGTTTGAAGGCATTTAGTAGCAACTACCACTTGGTAGGAAGCTAGGAGAAATGTAAACAATAAAAAGTCATTCAAGATTAAGAACTCAAATCAAGGTGTTCAGTCTTGGGGAAAGGAAGCTAAAGCAGTGTTTATCCAACTACACTTCAGGCTACTTAATGTACATCAAAATCACATGGGCACCTTATTAAACTTGCAAACTTCTGGCTCCATTCACTTCAGAAGGGACAGGGAGTCTGCACTTTTAAACAGCCCACATGGTGATTCTCAGTCTAATGTTTGAGTACCACTGGAATAGATTATGAGAGAAATGTGCAGAAAACAGGGAAAGAACAAGGCCAGATAAAGGAGGGAAATAAAATAGAAGAAAATGATAGGATGGCTGAGGAGAAAGATGCAGTACATACCAATGCATTATTTTATGTTTTCATGTCTGTAGGTAACATAAAACTTAAGGCTACAACCTACTTAACAAAGAGAAGCTTATTAACCTTTCTAGTAAGCTGGAACATTTGAAAAACTGAAACTTCACATTGAAAATATGTAAGATTTACCCTCTCAAAACAACAGACACGTGAATATCAGATGATAGCATCGGTCCCAAATTATAAATTTATGTTTAGCCTCATTCCTCGGACTATTCTGTGTCTCCTAGTTTTATTTTTTTAACTTTCTTACATACTTCTACTTTGTTATCCTATTGTAGCTCATGTATAACCATGAGTCACATTATATCCTCTTTAGAATCAGTCAGTTGTACCCTATTAAGCAAAAAAATCCCACAAACTTTTGAAAAATTCCAAAAGCATATTAACATGCTCTTCTATGAATTAAGGTGAACAAATAAAGTGAAATAATAGTTATGACCAGTCCCTGGTAATACAGTTAGTGCCAAACTTTTGAGTTCCTTAGATGTTCAATTCTAATGTATCAAGACAGCACTACCATTAGAAGCTACAGACCTGTTGTCCAGGACTTACCTGTATCAGAGCCAATAAGGTCAGAGTGGCCTCTTAGGCACTTCCTTGCTACTCCCGTTACTTATCTTAAGGCTTAAGGTAGGTTTTTGTAAACCTAATTATTCAGGTCTTAATTCCCTGGTAAGTCATAAAATTATTCAGTTCTCTAGTCAGGAAAGGAAATTACACCTGCTTTTGAAGGGCAGGATATGGTAGATTTTTCATTAACACCTGCCATTAAGTCCAAGTCAGATATGACTATTTAGTAGTAGTTAAATGATTAAATGACACAAAGCTACTATAAATGTTTATTGAATTGAAATGATCTATACAACATTGCACTAAATCACTTCTTCTCTGAGTCCATGTGGTGCATTCAGATCTGTGCAGGTCTCAAGAGTTTCACTTAAAATAGAACACTGGGCTAGTTTGCTGATCATTTAAAAGTCTCACATATCAGTATCTAAAGTCCCACTAAAGCAAAAATATCATCAATATCATCTGTCTCCTTAATGATTCCTGGTATATTTTCATTTATTTGTATCATTGTCCGTGGGTCAGTTTCATTTTCATTGCTCCATTTTAGATTTTCATGATTTTGTTTCTCCTTAGTTTGTAACACAGGATTTGAAGCACTGCTACTCAAGAGTTGCTTACTGTTAGGGTAGAGATTACTCCTATGATCTGTACAGTGTGAGAGTCTCCGTTTGCTGGGATCTGTAAAAGTCTGAGTCCCTTGGGAGGACTGCTGAACTTCCTTTAGAAGAATTGACTGCAACTTTCTCTGTGGTTTTCTCTGTCTCTGTAAAAATTTATTCTGTGATTTTATCAGTCTCAGATGATGCTTTGAAGTTTTGCTACTTGAGCCACGAAGGCAGTTGCAAATAGATGTTTTTATGCACTCTAGTTTCTTGGGCAAACTTTAAAGGACAGAGAGAAAGGAAAAATGTGAAATTGTTAAAATGCAGAGAAAACATTCCCAGAAACTTTTATCTTCTTTTTACCAACTTCCAACAGAAAATACACAATTTATGTAAGTCTCATGCCTGTGTACAACCCCAGAATCATGGTGAAAAATAAAGAAATAGGAGCTTCAACCCAAATCTGTTTTCAGAGCACTTCTCTCACTCAAGTTGCATGCAAATGTGTCTCCATTAATCCCAAAGTAGCTCCTATAATTACTAAGCAGGGTAGCTGAATGGTGAGATACCTCCATACTTTAGAGCGGGAGTTTTTTCCTGATAATTGCTCATTTGTTCATAATGTAATTAATAGGAATGGAACTAGAGAAAGGATGTGTCTCATAGAAAAAATCCGTGAGGGTGCTTTAGTCCGTTTCTGGATAAGGAACTTTGTGTTGTAGCATGAAATGAACAAGGACATAAGAATAAAAAGTGAAGAGGGAGTTTATATAAGAATGAGAAGACAGGTCTTCTGGCCCAAACTGACAGCAATTGAAATACCCAGTTTGTTTTATCTATGATCTTCAAGTTTGGGAATTCAGAACTCAAATAGCTGATTATTTTAGGTATTTCACTTCAGAATAGAGTGCACTGCCACAAAGTACACTGGTACCTTGCCAACCGCCTCGTTGTTTGTGACAGATTTCAAAAAGATTAGCATGGGTCTGTACTTCCTACTCCAACACCTTCTCCTTTTCCTTTTTAAACAGACAGAACTTTGTGGAAGCCCATTACAATGTTAGTAATTCATGATCTCTTATTTCCAAACTCCTTCCTTGTCTTAGTACAAGTGGTAATTTTTACGTGGGGAGAGGAGTATATTTCCCAATTGAAATGAAAATAGAAAGAATGAAAACAGAAGAATCAGAGGATCTGAATTGACTGCTAGGTCTCCAACACCCTAAGCAAAATCTTTCATTTCCTCATCTATAAAATGGGAATAAGACTGCCTACCCCACAGTTCTGTGGACATGTAGGTAGATTTAAAATGTAGTACAAATACATTATTGAAACAGCGAAAACAGGACAGTATGAAACAGCATTCATTACATTTTTGTGAGGAACAAAATAATGGTTTAACCTAATAAACACCAGTTTGTTATCTTTCTCATTAACTTTTAATGTTTATCATCTCTGCCTCATTTACGCCTGACTTTGAACCCAGTTTTGAACAGAACAAATCTCTCCATCTCAGGCCAAGTTTCCACTCTGAAAGAGATCCCTTTCAGAGGGCTCCAGCGTAAATGCCCATCCAGCAGCCCTGGCAGGGGTGGCTCTGTTGGCTGAGCATCATCCCACAAACCAAAAGGTCGGGTTCAATTCCCAATCAGGGCACATGCCTGAGTTGCCGGTTTGGTCCCTGCTCAGAACATGTGTATTTCTTGAAGGGTACATTAAAAACTGTTCAGAATGACTGCGTGGAATAAGGATCTTCATAGCCACTTGTGGCTGATATTGTTACCATGGGCAGCTATTATTTTTTCAGTAAGAATAAAACTCTAAACTGTCTAACTTCACGTATTATTTCAGGAATACTGGCTCACAATCAAATATGACCATCCTTAAGCAGTTCTATGAATGTAAGAAATCACAGGAAGGGAAGAAAATCAAAACATGGAGAGTCTAGCTCCAGTGAACAAATATCACCTAATCCTGACCTCAGAGTCTGGTGTGTGCCCGTGTAGAAGTCAGGCACCTTTTGCTTCTGCTCTTACACGCTCACCCTGCTGCACAGAAGCTGTGGGCAGACTGGCTGTCTTTCCTAATAAAACTAGAGCACTGTGAGGATTCTGTTTTACACATAATTGTATCCCCAGACCCTTCTAATACTTCGGAGTGAACAGATGGAAGAGTGAAGGGTATAAATGAGTAAGTCCAATTAACCAAGTTTATTCCTCCCAGTGATACTACACTGTCCAACAAAAGCAGCAGACAAAATTGCAGTTTGCATAGACCCCCTTTTTGCTACCCTTGGGCTATTACACATCCCATTCTACAGAAAGCGGACTTGACTATATATGCTTTTCCTCTTCTAAATGTCAACCAAAAAAAAAGGAATATAAGTTTTGTAATATACCTACCTATAACCTTGAGCTTCCACATGTTTAAGGCGGTTACTTTTAAGAAGTTTGTTGCCCAGAAAGGAAGCCTGGGCCTTGAGTTTTTTGCTCCTGCACCATAAAATCGCCATTTGGATTTCTTCAGAAAGTTGTAGGAAAGTCTCAGCCTCTTGGAATCTTTGCACAAAACTTTTGGCACAAGGAGTTCCTATCACTTTCTCAGAAGAATGTTCGGTTGCCTTTAGGTGGGATTGAGGACATTTAAGCTCAGAGCTGGCCTCCTGAAATATGGAAAGGTAAGAAATATGATTTGTTTCCGAATTATAAATATATGACAATAGAGAAAAATTGACTTACAGAGTATCCAAATTAGAAAATTTGTCTTTAAAGAAAAATGCTTTTAGTTCACTGTACTTTCCTTTTTGTCTTAAAAAACTTAAATTTTTATCCATTGCTCCTAACACAAGATTATTTTCCCCTGCTGTGGTACAACAGATCCCATCCATAGCTGAATTCAGTTGTACACAGGAAACAATATAAATATCCTAACACGTATCTCTTCTATCTACACATAAGAATAAAACTCCACATGATTAAATATTGGTCAAAGCCTATCTGGTGGGGAAAAAGAAATCACTGAGGAGTACTTTTCCTCTATATTAGTGGACTACCACAACTTGTTTTTCTCTCATTTCTGTACTGCGTCACCATCCTGAATGATGGGTTATAAATGTTACTGAAACGCATGAAGACAGGGATGACTGCCCAACATATGTTAAAAATGCTTAAATCTGTACCATTTTCAATTCTAATTCAGCCATCTTTTGATGTGGCACCTTTGTCTCTTCAATTCATCTCTGTGTCAAGTTTCAATTTTACCAACCTTTACTGTTTATGAAACTATGCCATCTACTAGGTATGCTTCCATCCTTCAGTCAAAGCTTACCTCCTTCCAAATTTCTTACCCTCGAGAATATGAAAGAGCAGTAGAGAATATAAAAGTAGGGACCTATCAGTACTTTGTGCTGTTGATTAGTAAAAGAAGTCTTCCCTAAAAGCAGACCAAGTATATCAATGCTAATTGCTAAAAATGCTGCAGTAATAGTCATGAACAAGAAGGACGCTGACCAACCAGCTTTAAAACCTAGGAATAGGTGGATGGACTATAGAAGTTTCAAGGGTCACAGAGACATAGTTCTTAAAACAGTTGGCAAAACTACTTTGGGGACTAATACCAAAGGTAATAAACAGATTACGAACCAATCTGCCTGCATCCAATCCCAGCTCTGCCCCCTATTTGCTGTGTAACCTGAGCAAGTTTCTTCTCCTTTCTATGCCTCAATTTTCTCACCTGACATATGGAAACAAAAACAGCACCTATCTCACAGGGCTTTTGTGAGGATTACGTAAGTTAAAATGTTTTGAACAATACCTAGCAAAGAGTAAATACTCTAGGTATGATACGTCAGTACATATTAGTATTATTATTGTTATTATTATTACTATTTCTCCCTCTGCAGCTCATGAATTGGACATAATGTAAATGCAAGCTGGAAGCCTTGTAAATGTACAAGAAAGTACTCTGACTTATGAGAAATTATTAAGAATTATTAAATTGAATGGAAGAAATAACCCATGAAGCAAATCAGAAAAATATATGTAAAGACAAAGGGTAATGTAAGTCAGGTAGTTACCAGATGAAGGAGGGTAACACTAACATACTTATCTGTTGTGGGGTCCAGAACAAACAGAATTTATAGACACTAAAAAGGGCAATCATGTTAAAACTTGAACCCTGATAGGAAAAAAGAAATAGAAGCTTCATGACAAAGGATGAGGATGATGATGATACTGAAAGTAGATAACATCTAACACCGCTTGAGTGCCTATTATACTCCTGACTCTGTACTGAACACTTTACATGCATTAAAACTGGCACAGCCCTATGAGGTATTTACTATCAGAAAACAGAGGTATGGGTAGGTCCAAAGGCTTACATAAGATCACACAATTAGTACAGACCAAATCCAGGACTCAAAGCATTTCTATCTGACTGCAAAGCCCATACTCTTAAGGTACAGTACAATCTACACCTACGATGGATCCTAGGGTCACTTTAAAATTCTAGCAAAACTCTTTATAAAATATTTTTGAAGGATTCTATTAACTGAATTAACTGGATGCACCAAAATCCCTTGGAGTGCCTCCATTCAAAAGCACAGACTGAGAACTAAGACGATACTAAGCTTAGGGCTAGGGATAAAAACAAAGGTAAGGTTCAGTCTCTATCCTTGGAAAGTGGCACCTACTCTGTAAATTAGCAGAAACCATAAGCTATATTAAAATAAGCCAAACCTGAATAGCTTTGTGTTTCAGCTGTTTGCAGAAGGCCCTCACATCAAATCCTGATGACTTTTCTGTGGAAATGGAAAGAACAAATACAGAAACTTAGGCATACTATTTTCAAATCAACAAATTCTGAAGTGCATGATGATATTTCTTGCCAAATTACTACAAAAGTAGTAAAGGAAGCAAGCAAAGAACTATGAAACAACAGAAACAACTTTAAATGCTCAAGCTTAGAAATCCACACAGGTATTACCATACCTCTCTAAAGATAATCAATATGAGTTAAAATTAAAAGGTATGGGATTTCTTCCTACACGATCCCTGATTATACTGTAATTTCAAGTTGTTTTTTTTAGTATGTGCCATATCAAAGCATATTACCTTTGAAGATTTTCTTATTCTTTACTGGCTCTCCAAGATCTACAATGTTCTGTAGATTGATCTTCATTTGTGTTGCTCTTTTGGAAATTCTAAGTAAAGTTTCTTCACTGCACCTTAGCGACTGCTCTTTTGTTAAGAACAGTTTATTCAGCAATTTAGTTACTCCTTTAGCTGCAAAAGCTGCAGGCATTTTTTTCTTAAAGACCTCAAAATAGGGCTGTCCTAAAAATTCAACAATATCAGAAGGAAAGGTAAAATCTTTGAAGTAAGGCAATGGTTGAATCCTAGAGACCTCTTGAAGCAATCCAAACAATGGCTCATATAAATAAATCAGCCTTTTTAAAACACCTTTATAGAAAACCCTAGAGAAAAAAATAGGAGCTCATGAATTAACCATTAAGTACAATTTGCAGATTATATAATAACAATTCAAAGCTGAAAATAAATGCCTATCAATCTGCCATTACATATTAAATTTAAAAAAACCCTATAGCACATATTTGTAAATAGCCAGATAATGTTAGCCTTAACAGAAAAAGTCAAGTGCAAAAGTATTACTTAAAACTAAAGTACTAAATAGAACACTGTCTCAGATGATGTGCATCAAATCTTAAGTATAGTTTTATCTAGAAATGGTGAGATTTAAGGTAAATTTCAGGTTTTTCACCTATTTTTTCTACTTTTTAAAATTTCTTAAACTAAGCATGTATCATCATTATAATCAGCAAAACTTGTTATTTTCATTATAGAAAATAAAAATGAGTGTTTGACATTGAAAATAATGACTAATTTTAATATTGTTACCTCTAAGAATAAGCAGAATAAAAAACAGGATGATTCGTAATAGTGCTTAAGATATACAGGTTAAGATAGCAAAGCAAGATTTTTAATCTCCAAAGACAGAATTTTGTTTTAGTTTTAATTCAAATTAGAGCTAAACATCCCAATTATCTAAAATGGCCCAAAAGAGGTACATTTACAAATATGGGAAGATTCTGAGTCCAATTATATATACTGAGAGATGCAAGAGAACGTCTCTTTGGTTTGCTGCCAGTACCAGTGTTCTTTACATCAACTAACTACACTCAAAAAGCAGTGGTGTGTCTTCCCAGACCCATGCATTCTAGTCCTGGAGCAGAAAAGGGCTCTGCATTACTCATAGTTCTTGTTTGCAGAGCACAGAAATGGCTCTAGTTAATTAAGTAATAAAAGTGTTTAGTAAAAAGGAAACAAAAAGCAGTGGTATTTCAGGTGAAAAAATAAAAATCTGGAGCACATAAGGTCACTGCCATTAAAAATTAGAAATGTAGAGGCAAAAAAAGTGATTGTGTACCCAGGAATACCTTCATTTTAAATGGGCCAGTAGCTGTATGATTATGGCAACCATTTTTTTATTATTCCAGTTGCTAATCCTAGTGATTTTATTTGCTTGTTTAGTGTTGAAGTGATCGCTTGGCTTCAGATTTAAAGCCTCATCTTTTGACATAATCATCTACAAATTTAGCTTCCAAATCCACTCCACATAAACTCTGATCAAATGAAACAGGGCTCCGGCAACTTCAGCATCCCATGGGAAAACATATGCAAACCAATGAGAAACCTCGGCTGAGTTAAAGAGATGAAAAAGAAATGAAGGATTTCAAAGGTGTGTACATACATACCACAATCTGCTCACCAACCCAACCATCACAAGGTTTAAAATAATGAATTCTTGCAAACCTAGGTGTTTCACAGTCAGGCTGCAGGATCAAGTTAAAGTTGGAAAACAAAACCAAAGCAATTTGTATTTTTAAGTTACATTTATGAAAAAACTAAATTGGAAATAGAATGTTCTTGAGGAATTAATGCCTTAAAAAATGTTCTATTTAACTCATGGAAATTTAAAAATAAAGTAATATACACTCTGCTAGAGGTCTCATTATTAAATTTAATTTCTAAGGTTTAGTTTCTTTTTGTGTTTTCTTTAATTTTCACCTCTTTCTTCTTCTTTGTTTTGTTTGTTGCTAAGGTTTAGTTTCCCAAATTAAGAATTTCTAACTGTCCAACGACCCTTAGGATAATAAATACTAGAGCAAGAAAAGCAATCTCTGGCAATGGTTGCATCAGGTAATTCCAGGGAAAAGGTCAAGAAGCAAAATTTTGGGAGGGAGTACAGGGGGACTAAAACATAATGTAAAAAAATACAATAAAGATTAAATACAAAAAAAAAAATTTTAGAATTCCCATAGGGCCTTGGCCAGGTGGCTGAGTTGGTTGGAACATCATCCCATACATCAAGAAGGTGGCGGTTCGATTCCTGGTCAGGGCACATGCCTAAGTTGCGGGTGTACACAGGAAGCAACCAGCTGATGTGAGGCATCGATGTCTCTCTCTTCCTCTCTCCCATTCTCTCCCCTACCCTTCCTCTCTCTAAAATCAATAAAACTTATCCTCAGGTAAGGATTAAAAAAAAAAAAAAAATTCCCTATTGGTTGTAACACCTACAGATTCCCCTGCCAAGCTTTCAAACAGAAATAGTACTACACTTATCCAAACAATTCCAGTTAAGAAGGTACAGTATTTCAATTAATTCAAGGATACAGAAAAGTCTTGCAGCAACAGTCCAACAAGCGAAGTAACAGTTTACAGGCTCCCAAAATCTTCATCAGCACCAATTCCACCACTGGTTGGCTGGGGATAACACACACTTTGGTAGTTAAAGGCTGATTTCCACTTGAAAAAAAAAAAGAGAAAAGTATATTACTTTCATTATTACATATAAAAGCACTTATTACAGCAGTTTTCAACTGCAGAGCTGCTTTAAGCTCAATTTGAGTTCTGCTATTACTGAAGTTTATAGACACTGATGTTTCAATATAATCTAACCATGTTCCAGATTTAAAGTCACACCAGGCCCACCCAGAAGCCAACAACGGGAGATTACAATACCACGTGTCCCTTATTGAAACAAAATTTGTTGAGCTGAGGTATAATTGGTTGTATTCCAACACCAAGCAGAAAAAAATCCAAAGGGAGATCACAGAGACAGAGTTCCCACCACAAAGCCCATCACAGAGCAATTGGACCACTTACCTGGAAGAAAATAACTCAGACAGATCTTGAATTGAACCCTCCAAATTCATGTTTTTCAAACGTTTTAAACATTGTTCAACCTGAAAGGGAAAGAGCCACTCACATTCATGTATATATAATACAAACAAAGCCAAAGATGTGACCAGCAAAGCTGTACGTTCCATGAGAACAATGCATCTGGTCCATTTTATCTACAACTGCAACTCAGTACTGTGTACTGAGTAGGCATTTAATAGCATTTTTTATCCAAAAAAAAAAAAAAGAAAAAAGAAAAAAAAAGGTGAGAACCATTCATTAAACAAAATGTAGTAAGAACTCTGTAGTCCTCACACAATACCACATAAAGGGTATGCATGGGACTGCATCCAGGCTGAAGGATGGATGGTCACGATACTGGCAGAGATAACATCTTACTAGAGCTGCATATATGCTACTAAAAATTCAATCCAAGTTACAGATACTCTCTTAACAGGATGGTTTTCAGAACAATGGACACAACAATACCTAAGTTCTCTGGGGTTAGCTCTTGATCATTTTTTAATTCTGAACACTATCCTTTGAGAGAAGTATTGACAAACCACGACAGTAAAGCACCTGGGAAACATAGTAAGTGACCTGTGGTTCAAAAGAGTAGGAGGCAGATTTTTGAGAAGTTTAGCAAGGAAGAGAGCACATGGAGGAACATAAGAACAGTCTTTATATACTCCTAAGTATTGTTACACAGAAGAGGAATCAAGAATATTTTCTATGCTCCATTGGGGGAACATTAAGTGGAGCTAATTGTGTTATCTAGCTTTTGAAGGTAGAAAAAAGAAATCTTAAAATAGATGAAAGTTGTTTGTGATATGTTAAGAAGATATAAGGCAGTAGCAGTAATAGTAACAGTAGTTGCAGCAGCAGCATTAGACATGTTCCCTGTTCTAAGGGATTGAAGGGAACATACACATGTACACAGGTACCTGTAGTGCAACACAGACTGCGCTAAATGCCATAAGAGAAGAACAAATGGAGGCCAAGAATCACAAAAGAGAAGGACTTCAACTTCACTAATCAGAAGAATACAACTTAAAATGAGATTACCATAATATACACTCATGTTCCCCTTTGGGAAGAAGTTATTACTGCTGGGAAGGCTTGAAATGGGACTTACAAGAGGAGAAAGCCTTTAACAGACAGGGATGGAAGGACTAGGCATTCCAAACATACAGGACCAGGTAAGCAAAGGCTCAGGTGAGGGAACAAACATGGAGAGGACTCATGAAGAATTCAGGTTCCCTGGAGTGTAAAGCAGCAGAAAGCAATAGAGAACTAGGAAAACTGCAGCCCATGGAGATCTCATAAGCCAACCTAAGACGTTTGGTTTTTATTCAGGAGGCAATGGAGAACCACTAAAAACCAAAGCTGTGTTTTAGGATGATTAATCTGATTTTGCTTTATAGAATATACTAGAGTGGAGGAAAGATCAGTTAGAATAGCAAGGCAACTGAAGGTTCACAAGGTTAAAAAAAGATGCAGCCAGAACTAAAAGAACAAACTAGATCCCAAGAGACTTTTGAGTGATCAATTGACTAGATGGCAGACCTACATAAAAGGAAGGAGCAGAGAAAAAGGAACACCAAATTTTTCTGACTACATAATTACTCACGACTTGGAATCCAGGAGGAGAAATGTGTTTAATCTGGGATTAAAGACTCAGAAAGGTAAAAGCTGTCCAAATACAAAACTTAGGGAAAGACCTTGATCCCAAGTTTTTCTTTGATGAAGAAATCATCTTTTTTACCTTAAGTAATGGGAACAGAAAATTAACCAGAGAATATGAATCTGTAAATTTAGAGACTGTGTCTTTATCACCCCTGTATACCAAGTACCAAGCACAGTACTTTCTGACACACAGAAAGTTACAAAAAATACTTGCAGAATAGAAAGAATCAATGAATGAGAATATAAAGAACCTAGATTAGGAGGCTCTACTCTTTGGTGTAGTCCCTAAACTGGAGGGCCCGATTTTGTCTTAAACTCTAAAATTACATGAAACTACTTTATACAACTTGTATACACCCATTTACTCTAATATATTACCAATTAGATTATGCACCCCACAATAAATAAACTACAACTTGGCTCTTTTTATGATTTTAGGATACTGACTATGCCCAGGAAATTTTCTTAATTTAATACTTTGTCTTGATCAAATCACTGCATCTTTGAACTAGGCAAAGGCACTGTAACTTATTATAGATTGTGTATAATGGAAAAAACTTTTAGTAAAAATTACACACTAGAAACAAGGCTGGGAAAGAATTAAATTTCTTATAAGTCACAAGTAATTTACTCAGTTTCCATAAATAACAAAATATTGAGTAGTAGTGTGATCTCCACCTTCATCAAGTAAACATGTTCTGTCTCAAGCACAGGCTTCTTCCTTACCTGTTTCAGGGCCAAATGAGGTTTGTGGCGGCCCATTCTGTTGTGATTGCTGTAAAGGACTGCACATAACACATCTGTTTCTGCATCTAAGGTTTGGCTCTTCAGTGACAGTGTGACAAGAGAGCATTCTTTAATTACAGCTGCAATACAAAGGGCTAAAGCAGAGAACTTTAATAAGACTTAGTATGTATTTCTACATTAAGTATATTATTTAAAAAATACACTGAAAGAAGTATCTTTCCTTTTTCGTTTTAAAGCAGTAATTTTTTTGTTTTACAGCATCTCATGGCACACATAAACTAATTACTAAAATTCTGCAGCACACCAAAAAATACTTTTTCCTGATCTGACAAAAAAATAGATTCCATTTTGATTCATTCACACTGGACAGCTATTGTGTTGGCTTTTTTTTTTTTTTTTTTTTTTGACAAGCTAAGGCAAAAGAGGTCAGTGCCCCTGACTGGTCAGGTATTGAATGTTTTAGAAATTCTTGCAGCACACAAGTGTGCCTGCCATAGCACACTCATTGAAAATTGCTATTTTAAAGGAATGAAGAAGAAATAAATAATCAGCCTTAACTGTAAAGATATAATTAATGATTCTAAGTATGTGAGAAGTTGGAAAATAGTGACAGATGATATAAAGTCCAGAAATCGAGAGAATGTCTGTTAAACAAGTATGCATATCTTTACATCACATTTTTATGATTTTAATCTTTAATCTTTCTGAATGCTTTTCATTTGGTGCACTCTTAACATCCTAAGTACCTTGAATGTGGGGCACATGTTGTATACTTCTCTGAATCCCCCATTTTGTTATGCACAAAAGCAAGACAGAGTGTATTAATTCATGTTCTTACCAGTGAAAGATACCATACTTCAGTACCACTTTAAGGTAAGAATATATTATGAGAAACTAGCATGGCAACTGGAAATTACTTGATGAATGCCTGACTGAATGAGGGCTCAGCAGAAAGAGATAAGCACTTCCAAATCAGAAAAGCTGTATTCTGGTCCTGGCCAGGTAGCTCAGTTGATTGGAGCACCATCCCATACACCAAAAGGTCACAGGTTCAATTCCCAGTCAGGGTACATACCTCAGATTTGTATTCAATCCCACACACAGCAGAGGCAACCATCAATGTTTCTCTCTCTGCACCCCGCCCCCACCCTTCCTCTCTAAAATCAGAAAACATGTCCCAGAGTGAGGATTAAAAAACAAACAAAAAAGTGCTAAAAAAGAAAATCTGTGTGTTCTGTATGGCTCTAAGGACAGCACTGCCATCCTGGATGGAAGTAACACAAAAAAAGCAGATTTCTACACACTTGCTTTTGCTCCAGCTACATGAAGCCAGAATTGATTGTGTTGGGGATGGGGAGTGAGTTGATGAATTTCCACACCTGGCAGGAATCCCATTAAGGAATTTCTGAATAGAGGAAGAAGGAAGATAATCTGTAAACTGCATAGGATGTGTGAACGAGGATGTGATAATTAGATGGGTTAAAAGCCACTGATGTTATTATCAACTATCATTTAAGTGTTTATTTACCATATCGGGCACTGTTCCAAATGCTTTACCTGTAAAATTAACTCTTTTATTCCTCAAAATAGCCCAGAGGCAAGTACTATTTTTATCCCCGTTTGAAAATGAGTTGAGGCACAGCAATTTTCAACTTGTGTGTCAGAAAAATTTTTTTAGTTGTATTTTATTGTTTATGCTAATACAGCTGTCCCCACTTTTTCCCCCTTTGCCCACCTCCACCCAGCCCCCTCTCCCTCAGGCCATCCCCACACCATTGTCCATGTCTATGGGTTATGCATACATGTTTTTTAGCTAATCAATTCCTTCACCTTCTTTCATGCAGTCTCCCCATATGCCCTCCAAAGGTTGTCAGTCTGTTCCACATAACTATACTCTGGTTTCTATTCTGTTTATTAGTTTGTTAGTTTACTTTGTTTAGTAGAATCCACATATAAGTGAGATCCTATGGTATGTGTCTTTCACTGACTGGCTTATTTCAATTGGCATAAGTCTCCAGGTCTATACACGCTGTCACAAAAGGTTAAAAGGTCCTTTTTTACTGCTCTGTAGTATTCCATTGTATAAATGTATTACAGCTTTTTTAATCCATTCATCTCCTGATGGGTACACGGGCTGTTTCCAGATCTTGGCTATTGTAAATAATACTGCTATGAACAAAGCAGTGCCTATATTCTTTTGTATTGGTGTTTCAGGATCCTTAGGATATAATCCCAGCAGAGGAATCGCCAGATCAATAGGCAGTTCCATTTTTAGTTTTTTGAGGAAATTCCATACTGTTTTCTGCAGTGGCTCCACTAGTCTGTATTCCCACCAACAGTACACTAGGGTTCCCTCTTCTCCATATCCTTGGCGCAAGAATTTTTAAAACATGCAATACCTGACAGTTTAGTCTGGGGCACTGACCTCTTTTCCATTAGATTGTTAAGTTAAAAAAATAACAAAACACAATAGCTGTCCGGTGTGAATCAATCAAAACTATAACTGTTTTTTGTCAGATCAGCAAAAAATATATATTTTTGGTGCGCCACAGAATTTCAGTAATTAGTATATGTGTGCCAAAAGATGAAAAAGGTTGAAAATCGCTGGGTTAGACAATGACAATTCCCAGCAACGGGAAAAGTCAGAATTCAAACTTACGCAATCTGGCTGCACGCCCTACTGCCGAAAAATGGCAATACCATGATACATTGGTAACACATTTTAGTTTCAGAGCACTCTCCCCTGTACTAGACTTATGGGGTGACCACTTTGTAAGTTACATATTTAATCACTTATGGTATACCTGAAACTATGTAATACGTCAACTGTAATTGAAAGTTCAAAAGAATGTTAAACTAATCTGCTATCACTCTGCCAACTTCTTTTTCCAAGTTCGTTTTTAACTATAAATATTGCTGTTTGATATATTAAATTTTAAACTTCTCTGTGGTCAAAAAAAATGCTTGTTTATGTCCATTCTAAACATAGTCAGTGACTATATTTTTAAAATCAATAGCTGGGCACACTGTCTGCCAAACAGGATTATGCAATTATTCATTTTGTATGGATTGCTTGAGTGCCTACTGTATACCAGGTACTGTACTAGTTTCTGGGTATACAATGATGAACTAGAGTCGCACAGGGTGATCAAAGGGCAGAACATTTAAAATTGAAACTACTTGAGAAAATCTAGATTTACCGTTGTAATTATACATCGTAACTTGTTGGATATGACCAATAAAAATAAAACATAAAGAAGAGCATCATTAGAGGCTCCCAACAACAGCTGATGGGTAGGGAAGACTAACCCCATTTTACAAATGAGGAACCAAAGGCCCAGAAAGACTGCGGTTTAAGTCCGGAGTCCCTAAGTGACCCCCTCCGGCTGCTCCCAGGCAGAGGTCCGAAACTGACGGAAGGTAAAGCAGGCTCAGGATGGCCTGAGTGAGCACAGGGTTCCCACGCAGCACTCTTCGTGACTCTGGCCGCGTCTGCCTCCGTCGGCCGCCTCGACACGGGGCTGGGCCGTGCGCCTGGGCCTTGAGCTCGCTCCAGCGCTGCAGGCACAGCAGGTCAAGGGGGGGCTGCGAAACCACAAGCCCTCCAAAACTCCAAGGGAAACTCCGAGCCAAGAATACCCTCCCCCAAACCGAACTCCTTCCCAGCGCCCCGCGGACTGCGGAAGTCCCGCCCCCCGCGCACGTGCGTCGGCAGGGCCGGACACCACCTCCGAAATGCCTGTCCGCTCACGGTCGCCTCACTCACCAAGGGCCTTGCCGGGGTCCTGCACTGTCACTGTGCTGTGGCTCCCCGCCTTGGGGATTCTCACGCGGTTCCAAGGCTCCGGGCCCTGCAGCACCACAGCCATCTGCGAGGCGGGGAGGGGCCGGGAAGGCGGAGCTGAGCGACACCCCTGCAGCCACCGAAGGTGGGGAGAGGAAACGAGACGAAGTCTGTGGAGGAGGGAAGAAGAGGGAAAGGGGTGGAGCTGGGGCGGGGCCAGAGGCGGAGCGCGGAGAGTGGGCGGGTCCCTCAAGGAATCCTGGACCAAACCCAGTGATGTAGAAAGGACCCAGGTAGTCTCCGAAACCTGGACGCGTCATTTGGGAGAGCTTTGAGGGGAAAGCCCTATCCTGAAACTACTCAATCAGAATCTCGGAGATGGGGAGAGGAATTTGCATTTTTTATGCTTACCCGCAGGGGGTTTTAAAGCACAACCAAGTTGGAACTCCGGTAGTTGAAAGCATTTTACACATTTGGAAACTGAGGCCGAGAGTTGGGTTGGTGCAGGCACCCCCAACTCTGCCTCAGACCTTAGGGGAACAAGCAGAAATGAAGAGGATTATGAGAAGTGTAGAATTCGTTAACACAGGAGTGATATAGTTTGAGATAGTCAGGTCTCCTCTATCTTGAGCAATAGCAAAACCGCAATCACATTAAAGAAACTTGGAAGTTGGCTGACTATCAATTCCATCCTCAATATCCAAGACTAGACAGTATTTCAAGCTCTGCCGAATCTCACCTCATTATTATCTTTTAAGTACTTCATTTATCTTCAATCACACTGATGCCACCTTACTTAAGTGGTTAAAACTCCTACAGTAATGTATTAGAGAGGCAGTTTGTGGGTTCTGAAGACAAACTGCCAAGGTCCTAATTAAAGTTCTGCCTGTTTACTGGCTCTGTGATCTCAGGAAAGTTACTTAACTCCTCCAAACCTTAGTATCCCTATAGTAAAATGAGAAGAAGTATAATAGTCTCTACCTCACAGACTTGTAAATTCATTAGAACAGTGCCTGGCATAGATATATTTGCCAGAATTAATATTGTTGATATTATTTCTAATGTTTAATACAATTAGCATTGTCTTATTGAAATACTTCCCATGCTCCGTGTGTGCCTTGCACTCACTAACTTCTCTACCTGGATCATCCTTCTGAAACACAATCTCCCTTCATCAGCTCTGGTGTCATCACCTCTGGGTAACTTTTCCTGAACATTCCTCACCCATTCCACATCTTGATATAGAGACCCCTTTATGTACTACAGTGTCTTATGTTGGCATCTGTTAGCTTCCTACTGCTGCTATACCAAATTACTACAAACATAGTCACAATAACAATATAATCATTACATTTCTGAAGGTCAGAAGTCCAAAATCAATCTTACTGACTAAAGAGAGACTGATAAATGAGACTATAGCAGGGCTAGTTCCTTCTGGGGGCGCTAGTGAAGAATTCACTTCCTTGCTTTTTCTAGCTTCTAGAGGCCACCTGCATTTTCTGGTTCATGTCTCCATCCTCTATTTTCTAACTGTAGCGTAGTCTCTTCCAGTCTCCTTCCACCCTCTGTCTCATCCTCTTACCTGCCTCCCTCTTAAAAGGACCCTGATGATTACATTGAGTCCACCAAAATAATGGGGTAATCTCCCCATCTCAGAAAACTTAATTTCATCAAATCTGTTTTGCAATGTAAACTAATATATTCACGGATTCTGGGGATTACGATGCGGACATTATTGGGGGAGACATTATTCAGCCTCCCACAGACTCACAAAATTTGCCTCATTTTATTGTATTAATTGTGTGTCTCCTTCTCCGATGGCATGCGAGTTTACTGAAGGCAGTACTATCGGTATAGGTTACTGATCTCTAGATCTTAATGCTTTGCTCAGAGCCTGGCAAAACTCAAATATAGTAGGACTTCAGTAAATTTAAGAGCTTTATTGAGGTGTAATTGATACGCAAAGAACCACACATATTTAATGTGTTTAGCCATACAATTTCACAATTTTATCAATATTCACTGGCTGAATAAGAGACTAGATGATGCTTGAATAGAGTTTTTGAAGGTTGAATAGGATTTTCCCAGGCAGATAAGGAAAGAAGAACATTCCTAGCAGAGAGGCATTAATCAGCACGGGTTGGAAGACACTCTGGTGCTGGGTCAGTATTGCCAGAGCATGGTATGGGCTGAGGAATGAAACTGGGAGTAGTGGTGTCAGATCATGGGCAGAATTTGGATTTTACCCTGAAGACTGGTGGTTCCCAGACCTGGCTGATCAGAATTTCCTGGATCGATTTTAAAAATAGAGTTTTTCAGGCCCCACTTTGGGAATTCTTATTCATTAGGTCTGAGTAGTGCTCTAAATGTGTTTTTTAAAAGCTTCTTGTGATGGTGGTCTGATTGGGGAGCCCTTGCTGTAGGTGATGAAGGAGTTACTGAGTCTTAGGCAGGGCAATTTTCAGCCACCTTGCACCAGGGGGAGAGCACGCTGAAGGGCAGATTGTAAAAAGATGAGGCTATCCCTGGCTGGTATGGCTCAGTGGATTGAGCACCAGACTGTAGACTGAAAGGTTGCTGGTTTGCTTCTCAGTCAGGGCACATGCCTGGGTTGTGGGCCAGCAATGTTTCTCTCCCTCCTTCTCCTTCCCTTCCCCTCTCTCTAAAAATAAGTAAATAAAATCTTTTAAAAATAAAATAAGACGATGAGGCTGGAGGTAAGGTAGTCTGAAGCAAGACTTCATGAGGACCTCAATTTAAACATTGGCACTGAAGATGGACAACATGACCTATATAGAAATCTAGTATTCAAATATTTAGGTATGTGGTATGACTTCCAAAGTTTTACCTTAAGTTTGAGAGAGGGCATTCAAAAGAACCGATTTAGGAGGGATAATGAGATAACTTTTGATATACTGAGTTTGAGATTGCTCATGGGCTGTCTATAAGAATATGTCCGATTCACTAGATAAATAAATGAGACTATAGCTCAGAGGGTGATTACAAAGAGAGGAAGTAGAGATGTGAATACAGGATGTTTTAAAAGCTTAGGTGAGAAAGGGAGACAGTTTGTATGGTAACAGTGAGATGCAGGATCAAGCAGGGTATGGAGGGTATTGTTTTGTTCTAATTTTAAGGATAGCATATCAGTCAGGATTCCAGCAGTCAAACATAACCAGTAGGAGAGATAGATAGATAACAGATAGATGATTCTAAGGGATTTAATGAAAGAAATTGGCTTACAGGATTGTGGGGGTTGGAGGATAGTCAAGTCTCAGACCTATAGGACAGGCCATTAGGAAGCAGGCTGGAAACTCCCAGGCAGGAACTGAAGCTGCTGTAGGCGGTGGGACTTCTCCCTCCTTCCGGTCTTCAGGGAAACCTCGGTTCTGTTCTTCAGGCTTTTTAAACTGATTAGATCAGGCTCACCCAAATTACCCCAGATAATCTCTTTTACAGTGAGTCAACTGATTGTAGCTGATAATCACATCTACAGAATACCTTTACAGCAACACCTAGACCACAATTCAATTGAGTAACTGAGTACTAGAGCCTAGCCAAACTGACACATAAAACTGACCATCAGGAGCAGGAGATTATTTGATCACACATATAGGCTAAGGGAAAAGAGCCAAAACAGTGAGAGAAGATGAGCATACTAAAGATTTAAAGGGGAGGGAATTGATGGAGAAGAACCCATCAAATATTTATTCAATAAGCTATTTGAGCATGAGCTGTTCACCAGGCACCATAATGGGTCCAGAAGAGATAAGCAGGAATGGGATCAAGTGCTTAGGTGGAGGGGCTAACTTCAATATTGAAAAGCCTTTCTCTCTCTGAGCCAGAATATTAAAGATAACATTAGATGTGGATGTTTGGGTTGGGGTAATGGTTAGATGAGGGAACCCCTAAAAAGAGCTTCTGTTTTGTCAGTGGAGGAGGATTTGCAATCATTACCAAGAGTAGAAGGCAGGGAGATGGGGTTTCTGGTGAGCAGTGGATATTTGAAATCAGAGCTTTCTTGAACTGAGGAAATGTGGGAGAGGCATGGGCTATATACATGAGAGAGAAAGTAAGATTTTAAGGCCATGCTTTAAAATTTTCTGGTCTGCAAAGAAAGACTGCCAAAGACACAAATGACCATTAAATATATTAAACCTTGTCTATCTCATCAGTAATCCAAGAAATATAGATTAATTTTGAGGTACTGTCAAATATACAAAGAATAGAAAGCATGTTGTCCCATGTTACAAGGATTTAGATACAATTTTAGATAAGAAGTGATCCTTTGTTGTTATCATCATGAAAAGAGAAAATGATATTATATTCACATGGTAAATCAGTTGTTTTCTAATATTTTGGCAGTAGAATTCTTTTTCCCCACAAAATCTTACATAGAAGTAAAAAACATAAAAAACAAAACAGAAAACAAGTAAAAGCAGAATTTGCAGTGGATAAGGGTGTATGTAGAACATAAGGCCCTCCCATTGAGGCCTCCTACCCAAACTCCTAGAGGTGGCTCATAAAACACTTCCTAAGAATAGTTTAGAACCCACTGTTGTGAATAAGTAAATATGAATTGATATGAGCAATTTTTGGTGATACAGTAAAGCATTTTTAAAAGCAGTTTAGAAAACTGTATGGGTAATGTGATTCCATGAAAAAAATACATATCTACACATTGAGAAAAAAGTCTGGAAGTATCTAAATGAAAGTGTTAACAATGATTATCTTTCCAGCAGTAGGATGGATCTTTTTTCTTCTATGAGTTTATTTATATTTTCTATTTAAAGAAATGAATGAGAAAAAAATTATTTTTAATGCCAAAATAGTGTGTACCAAAGTCTTAGGATTGTGTGTATGTATGCGCACGCCAAAATATTCAGAGACAAATACTTTTGGCCCATCCAGCTATGGAATCTGAGCTTCAATCCCACCCTCCTATATTTTTGTGATTTTGTGACTGGAACTGTGCAAAACCACATAGCCTTTGCCAGCTGGTAGTTATACCAATATAGACCACTAGAGGGTAGCTGGAAGGCGGGAGAGGAGAGAAAGCACTTCGTCCTTGTTTCCTCTCTTATTCCGAGAGTCTAACAGGCAACAGCTCTTCATCTCAGGTAATGGCAGCTGGCTCTAGTCCCTAACTCTTTTTG